TGAAATGTAGATTCTGTTTCAGCAGGACTGGGGGCCTGAGATTCTGCATTTCTAATAGGCTCCCGGGTGATACCTGTGCTGCTGGTCCTGACATTGTGAGCAGCCGGGAATTATTTACATGGATCTCTTTTCCTTGTGAACCCTTTGACGTTGCATTTTGACAAAGAAGTCCTGTAGAGACTAGAGGTTATGGCCTCACCCCACTGCTATGGGTAGAAGTAGGGCTTTCCTGTGACAGGAAGAACTTCCCAAAGTCAATCACCAGGGAAAGAGACCTTGAGACCACCCAGGAAGAAAGTGCCTCACCTGCTGCTGAACCAGCACTTCCACAGATGAGGTTTAAGCGGTCTCTTGGCATCAGGAACCCACCACCTGGCAGCATTCCACAAGTCAGACAGGCCGACATATGGGGCCATAAATTGAAGAAAAGTAAACTTTGCCTTGTAACCCTACCTGCATGTAGTTCCTTTTGTGACCAGCCTGGCTCAGCTGTGAATCTAAAGAATTAAAAGAAGGTTCAAGTGTCCCCCAGCTTAGAACTGGAGAATTAATAATGAATCAGCGCCCTCTGAAGCCAGCTGTGTGGGACCTGCAGAAATTAGCTAGAGATTCCAAGGGAAAGATAAATCTTGAGGAATACGAGTTGAATCATTTTTTTTTATTGTACTTTAAGTTCTGGGGTACATGGGCAGATCTTGCAGGATTGTTGCGTAGGTACACATACACATGCCATGGTGGTTTGCTGCATCCATCCCCTTGTCACCTACATCAGGCATTTCTCCCAGTGTTATCCCCCCAACCTCCCCACCCCCCACTGTCCCTCCCCTACCCCCCAACAGACCCCACTGTGTGACGTTCCCATCCCTGTGTCCATGTGTTCTCATTGTCCAGCATCCGCCTATGAGTGAGAATATGCAGTGTTCAGTTTTCTGTTCTTGTGTCAGTTTGCTGAGAATGATGGTTTCCAGACTCATCCATGTCCCTACGAAGGACATGAACTCATCCTTTTTATGGCTGCATAGTATCCCATGGTATATATGCCACATTTTCCATCTTTGTGGTCCAGCTGCTCTTCTTACATGGAGACTTTCCTTCCATTGACAAAAAGGAAAGATGTAAGTTTGCTTATTAAGGAAGAGAGAAATTTCTTGTTCATGATGAGAGCACGAAGCTTTAAAAAAGAGAGAGCCTTAAGTTTCAGAAACTTGGTTCCTCAATACTGTTGGTGGACCTGAAGTTGTCAATGTCATAGCTAAAGACTGGGAAAACGCAACTCAGGAAGGATGGCTGTGGGCAAAGCCAAGCAGGCTGGTTTAGCGCCCCCTAGTGGAAGAGGGGGGCAATGTTTATGGTCCCTGCTTCTGGTTAGCTAAGGAATTTAACCACTGGAATTCTGTGAAAGATCATTTCTCTAAGCAGGAATCAACTGCAGCTCTGATCCTCTCTAATAGCATACTATTTGGCACCCATCTAGCCAACTATTAATTAATGCTGCTTCCACAGGGAAAGAGGCCGTGGTCAGACCAGCCTTTAATGAGCATCCCAGGGCCTGGCCAGACTTTGAGGGAAGGAGCATATTGAGATATTAGTCGAAGCTCAAAAACAATAGGTGCCTGCGCCCTCTAAGTGGCTCATGTATTACAGATCTGACAAGTCTCATTGATTTAAATAGCTGGAGCACTGCTTGGATTTTAATCTCCTTCACCCTTATACCAAGGAGGTCGCTGTTTAAATGCTTTTACTTAATAATGTAAACACCTGTCACACGCCAGGGGCAAAGCTATTAGGGAGAAGGATTATTTAAAGCAACGCTCCTGAATACAACATTGCTGTTATTGTCTTATCCTCAATTGCCAGGGTCTGAGCAGGACTTGCTTTTTTAAGACTAGAGACAGTGGCCAAGACACCCAATGCTCTGTCCCCTAACACCCAGACAAAACAGGCATCTGCTCACATGCTGTCATCTGAATGTCCCCAAATATCTGATCTGCCACGAGTGTTGTACTCAGCGCATGTGTCTACCAAAATCCCTTGTTAAGGTGGAAAGCTGTTTCCATAGGGGGCTGTCTATTAGGACTGTTATCCTGGTAGCTACAAGGCACCAGGAACTAAACTCTTCACAGTTAGTATCTCTTTTGTATCTACAACCCTGTGATTTAGTGCTATTGTTAACCCCATAATGTGAAAAACAGAATGGGTAAGTAACTTTCTCAAGGACACACAGTATTTAGCAGAAAAAAGGATTCAAACCTAGGATTGGCTTCAGAGTATGTGCTTTCAGCCACTATGCCATATTGTCTCTCACTATACACACGCACATACACACACACACACACACACGTACATACCAAGGAGATATATATATATATATATATATATATATATATGGATATATAGATTTTTTTTGAGACAGGGTCTCACTTTGTCACCCAGGCTGGAGTGCAGGACCACAAACATGGCTCACTACAGCCTTGACCTCCTGGACTCAAGCAATCCACCTGCCTCAGACCCCTGAGTAGCTGGTACTATAGGTGAGCACTGCCATGCCTGGCTAATTTTTGTACTTTTTTGAAGAGATGGGTTTTTACCATGTTGCCCTGGCTGGTATCAAACTCCTGAGCTCAAGCAATCCACCCACTTTGGCCTCACAAAGTGGGGCACCCAGCTTTATATCACTCTGTGTGTGTGTGTGTGTGTGTGTGTGTGTGCGTGCACGCACGCACACACGCGCGTGTGTGTGGCTGTCATTAGGACTCAGTAGTTTACCACATAAGCCTGTCACATGGCAAGGCATGGAAAGTAGAAAACGTCCTCTTCAAAGTTTCATAAGTGTTAGAAATAATAGTTTGTTTTAAAGACTTTCGTCAAAGCCTTCTTGCTTTTTGCTAATAATTCTTTGTTAAGCCCTATCTTATGTAGCTGTTAGACATGCTTATAGGCACATAGTACATTCTATATTCTTATACTTTAACCAAGATATTTGTGCTAAATATACTCACAGGCATGTCCCAGCTCACATCCTATGACCCTTCCTTGTTTGGATTTCTTCATTGCTTTAACCGTTTAAAGAAGTTCTAAGTTATTAGCCAATCAGGTTTTAGTTTAGATTGTGAGGTCTGGCTCCAACCAATAGAGATCAGACACAGCAGTAAGGATAACCCCAAATACCTAAGGGATAAATATGGTCTGCTTTTCTTTTATTTGTTGTACTCTCATGGCAAGATGGCTGGCAAGGGTACCCTTCCTACAGAAAGTAAAAATTGCCTCCCTTGAGATCCTTTGTCTCAGTGATAATTTTTCTTTGTGGCACCAAGCATCTATTTCCAACACAGGGTAAAAGCCTAGAAGAATGGCACAGAAGAGAGTAGAAGGGGAAAAACCAGAATCTAGAGGGTGAATGGGTAAGAGAGCCTGACGGTGTGCCCTAGAGCCTGGACTAGGGTCTTTGGAACAGAATATGGGCATCAGGAGGCCCTGGAGTTAGGACCTGCCAAGACCACAGATGTGAGAGCACTGCCTATAACCTAGCAAGGAGGAAGGATCATCCCTGCTTCCTCTCTCTCTCTTCCTTTACCCAAACTGATTCATCCAAGAGGCACGCTTGAAGCCAAAGCACACGCCCTTCCCCCATCCCACCTGCCATCTATGTCTTCTGAATGCTCATTGTAACTGCAAGTCTTGGCAAAACTCATGTCTGCCTGGGACCTGCCAATAGCACCTAAAGCCCTGATGTCATCTAACCAACTGTTAGTTAATGGCATTGGCCCTAAGTTGGAGGGTGTGCTAATGAAAAGTGCAGGCCACAGTAGGCACTGGTCTTTATTCAAGTTACGGGTCAGATATTGGTGTGGTTTATTAAATTAAGACAACTCTCCTTCCACAAATGTATCTTAGTGATGAAAGCCAATCTGTACGGCCGGGCACGGTGGCTCAAGCCTGTAATCCCAGCACTTTGGGAGGCCAAGGCGGGTGGATCACGAGGTCAAGAGATCGAGTCCATCCTGGTCAACATGGTGAAACCCCGTCTCTACTAAAAATACAAAAAAAAATTAGCTGGGCACATGGTGGCGCATGCCTGTAATCCCAGCTACTCAGGAGGCTGAAGCAGGAGAATCGCCTGAACCCAGGAGGCGGAGGTTGCGGTGAGCCGAGATCGCGCCATTGCACTCCAGCCTGGGTAACAAGAGTGAAACTCCATCTCAAAAAAAAAAAAAAAAAAAAAAGCCAATCTGTATAACTTGGTTCAAGCACCTGAGTTCAACAGTAATTTGGTAAGCAAACCCTTTATGACAATACAGAACAAATTAGAAAATGGTTCATTCATTCATCAAATATTCATTAAACTTCTTTTATATAAGGCACTGTCCTTAGTACTGTAGATGAATCAGAGAATAGGAGCATCGCTCTCTCTGCTCGTGTGGAACTTTCCGTTACATGGGAGACAGAAAGCAAATCAGCAAAAAGGAAAAACAAACAGAATGTCAGGTGTTGAAAGAAAACACTCAGAGCTGTGTTTCTCCAAGAGTGATGCCCATCCTGGCAGCATCAGCATCACCTGAGAACCTGTTAAAACACAGACCTTCACGCCGCTTCCAAACCTGGTAAATCAAAAACTCTGGCCATGGGCCCCAGCAACCTGTGTTTTAACAAGCCTGGCAGGTGATTCTGATCTGTGATAAGGCTAATGAACTACTAGAATAGAAAGCAAGGGTGGAAAAGGGAGCATCTTTAGGTAAGATCATCAGGAGAGGCTTCTCTGACATTCAAACTGAGACCTGACAGATGAAAAGAAACGTGCCTTGCAAGAGCCAAGAGAAAAAATATTCCAGGCACAAGGAATAGCAAGTGCAAAGTCCTTAAGGCAGGGAAGAACATTTTATGGTCAAGAAACAGAAGGGAAAGAGGAGAACACAGTTATTGAAAGGCAAGCTGATGGATGCAGGGGTCTGATCATGCAAGGACTTAGAGACCTCAGCAAGGAGGATGAATTGTAAACTCACAAAAATGCCCTAGTGAAAGAAACATGGTCCTGTGAGAGCTTATAGCACATAAACCCAACCTAGTTTGTGGGTCAGGAAGTGCTTTCCAGAGGTAAGCTTCAAATGATGTTTGAAGATAATTTTTTTCCTTAATGCTTGTAAGTTCTTAGAACAGACCCCTGTAACAAGCAAACAAACAAAAAAAACATTGACAAGAAAAACAAACAGATGTTTGTTTAATGAATATATATTTCATACATACATTGGAGAAACCCAGAGAATAAGAAACTTGCAAAGAGGTGGCTTTGAATACCAATTTGTATAGCATTTTCAACAAGTAACAGTACATTTTTAGATTTCTGACACAAAGGAAAATAACTTTGAGTCTTTAGGGACAGCAACTTGTGGAAGACAAATAATTGGCAGACAAAGGCTAGTCAGTGAAGCTCATTAGTATAGGTTCCTCTGGTGCTTTCTCCGGCATGTAAAGATCCAAAGTTGTCTTAGGTGGTTAACCTGTTTGCCCAGGAAACAAGAGGAGGTGGGATGTCCTTTGTCTTCATAAATTTATGTCCTGATTTTAGGCAAATAGGGAAAGGGCAGGGAGCTTTCCTGCATGTGTTTCTTCTTATTTGCCATCAGCTCACCAATCCTCATGCCAAAAGGCATATTTTGGGGTGGCGTATTCTGGTCTCTCAAAGTATCAAGGATAAGTACAAGACAACTAAAAAAGTGGAGGAACCATCAAGTGCAAAGTCCCGGAGATAGGAAGCATGACACTGTCAAGTGTTTCCATTGTGAAAGCCTTTGAAATAGGCAAACACGAATCCTGGACGTCCTAACAAATCCTTCCTCTTTATTCTGTACCATTCATTGTCTTTGGCTTATTTTACAACTACTGCAAGTTGTAGAAAACTGAGAGTAACACAAATGATTCTTGTCTATAGAAACGCAAATTAATTTTGCCCAGTGACATGCAATTGATTATTGCCCTGGCAATATGGCTAGTTTTGCAACTATTAACAAATTCAGTTCAGCATTTCCTGACTAGAGTGAGTGTGTGTGTGTGTGGTGTGTGTGTGTTCTGAATTCTTCTAACCAGTTGTGACATCTTACTGATTCACCCATTAATCGGTGAACTAAAAAAATCTTTGACACATGTTCATTTTATATTCATACAAGAGTTATAAGTTTACCTTTTTAAAAACATTATTATTTAACAACATATACAAGGAATTACAAAGAGGCAGTATGGTACCAGATTGCCAGACAAATTATAGGACACCCACTTTGAATTCAGATAAATAATTTTTTCTATAAATATGATCCAAAAAATCACATGAGACATACTAAAAAAGTTTTCAGTGTTTATCAGAAGTTGAAACTTCCCTGCGCACCGTGTATTTCTTCTTGCTAAATCTGACAGCTCTGCAGCAAGGTCACTGTGGCTCTGTGCTCCCGCTGTGGCCCTTATTTGCTGCCGGGTTTGGGAACAGAAAGAATCACCTTTTATTGGTCTTTAACTCTTTCTCAGAGGCTACATTAGCATATCTTCTCCTCAAATTTCAAAGCCAAATTTCATTTTGTGTTTTAAAAATAAATCAGCATCAACTGTCGCCCTTATCAAGGGAGCAGGTGCAGCCAGGCTTTCCCCAGGGATATTCCTTTTATCCTGTGCTGCTCCATCACACAGAGCTTGAAAAATTTCCACCAATCCCATCATCAAGGAAACTGGTAACTTAGTGCCATCAATCAGGGGTCCCCAACCCCTGGTCCACAGACCGGTATGGGTTAGGAACGGGCACACAGCAGGAAGTGAGCGACATTACCGCATGAGTTCCACGTCCTGTCGGATCAGCGGCTGCATTAGATTCTCACAGGGGAATCTAATCTCACCCTATTGTGAATTGCACATGCAGGAGATCTAGGTTGCGTGCTCCTTATGAGAATCTAATCCCTAATGCCTGATGATCTAAGATGGAACGGTTTCATCCCAAAACCATCCCCCGCCCCTTCTGTGGAAAAATTGTCTTCCACAAAAGCAGTCCCTGGTGATTTCAGCGATCCCTAAATAAAAAGTTTAGGGGTCGCTGCTGTGACCCAACACTTGCGCTGTGCTGCAGTGCAGTCCTCCATAGCTTCTACCCAGCTGACCAGCTTAACTAGATGAACAACAACAACCAAACTGACCATTTTTTTTAACTCAACAGATCAGTTGACTTGTTGCATTTCAGTACTCTTGGAAAAACTGTTATCTTATTTCCTATCTGCCTATGAAAGACTTTCCTTCTGACCCACAAGAGTGTGTGAGGTGCCATTTACTCTAAGATCTGGGGACAAAGGAAAAAAGAGAGAGAAAAGGAAGGCAAGTTCCACGGGTGACACACAGATTTGAGAATGTCTCTGACCTCAAATACATTCCCGCTTCTCAGCCCCTCATCCGTCACTGTATCCAAAATTGCCTGCTTTTCCCCAGTGAGGCTTTGCAACTTTAGGATGAAACTTTTCTATATTCAAATCCACCTATTAAAGTGCAGATACCTTCCCACAAGAATACCCTAACATCAGCTTGCATTTTAGTAGAAATTGACTGACAGGACATAATATACAATCCATGCATGTGAGGGGAGACAGAATAGGAGCTCAGTAAGGGATGCTGAGGGCAGGCAGGAAGGAAACCCCAAGAGAGAAGGAGAATATTGCAAGTATGTAAGAGGCCTGAAGACATGCTGCAGGCCTCAGACCAATCTTGTAAAACAAAGTCTATAAAAATCTAAGGAAAGATCCTTTTAAATTGGGGGCCAAATGCTTTTGTTATTTCCTCTGCCTTTCCCTATAATGTGACATAAGATACCTCCAAAAGGAGATTTTCATGGTAGCATATCGTTGACTGGGTAGGCTTCCCGGCAGACTGGCAGCAGAGACATACCTGCAAAATGGAGGCTCTCCTCCGCAAAGGCGGTCTGATTGCCAGCAGAAGTTTGATCACACTTTTCCGAGCCCGGCTGGCTCTCAGAGGAATTATCATCACTTTCCGTATACATAAGACGATGAATGTGCCCAGCTCTTCCCGGGATGTAGGAGTGGAAGGCTGGCAGACAAATTCTCTCCAGATTGAATAAATGCTGGGGGGGCCCGGGGGAAGATCATTGTCCCCAGGAAGCATCCATCCCTCTTTAAGCAATGACTGTGCACACCAACTTTGGTTCTCAACTTCTGTAATATTTCTCTGTTATAAATTGGCAGGCACAGCATGTGGTCAAGGAGCCATTACAAACCCTCTCAAATGAAATTTTTTTTCCCAGAGACTTAATTTCTTAAAATGTGAGAGTTATTGTTTCCGCGGAAAGTAGGACAGTGTCTTTTTGAGCCTGCCAGACAAAAACAAAACTAAACAAAACAAAAGGCAAAGTCTGTGAGAGGATAACAGGCGAGCAGGCTTCCTTGCGTGCACCTGGAGGCCCCTCTTTCGGCGCTGTGGCTGCCTTAATGAGAACAGATGGCACCGTCGGGAGACAGGCTGGATATTATACGCCTCCCGCATCCTACTTCTGAAACCAGTTTTGAGCAGATCTTTTTTCACTGTGAATTGGCGCTGGTTGTTTAAGCGGTGGCCTAGACATGTGCCAGAAAGCAGGATGTTCATACAGAAAGCAGGATGCTAATACATTCATGGCTGCCTCTTGCAGAAGTCAAAGCCCTTTATAACAGAGCAGGTGAAGTCTTCAGAAGACCCTGCTTCAAGGATGGAGGAAGAGGCTGCCACGAGCAGCCCGCAGAAGGTGACTCACCTAGTCATTGTCAGAGAAGAAACACCACCCCGAAATCCCCATTCTGTGATTCCAGCTGCCTAATGCTACCACGTGGCTGCAGCCGGAGAACCTCCCCATGCAGGGTCCAGAAGGTGAGAAGGCAAAGATTCCACCTGCAGGTTAGGAAGTTCTGAAAGGGCTGAACCCGAATGTGGTAACTCTGGCTGACCACCCCTCATCCCCCAGGAGCTAGAAGTCACCACCTCTGTGCAGAAGCTGTTTCTCGTCACCTAATGCTTGGCCTCCCGATCTGGGGCAGACGCAGATCAGCTCCCGCAGCAGAATCCACAGAATGAAGGCAGAGAGATCTCAACAGTAGGAAACCCTGGCATTTTAAACTCTGCATTTCACGAAAGTTGTTTTGTTGTCATAGTAATTACCAAATTTAAATTACCTCTATTTTCAGGTTTCAAGAAGCCATAAAGAGAGAAAGGAGAGATTTTCATGGTGAGAAATGAGAAATGATGAGAAGAAGAGGCAATCTGTGGAGCCGAGACTTAAAGAGGAAAAATGTTTCTGGAGTCAGCTGCAGCCAAGGCGCCTAAAAACAATAGAGAAGAAAGAGAAGGGGCTCTCGGTGAGTGGACAACGCACACGGAAAAGGAGTGCAGTTTGGAACACAATCTTCCAGTTCCACCGGAAGAAGACCCGAATGAAGTTATCAAGAGGAATTTTTGCATGGTGGTCAGGTGCGGGATTCTAAAATGAGCATAGAAACAGTAATCATGTCGTGGAGGTTTTTTGGGTTTTGGGGGGAGTGTTTTTTGTTTTGGGGTTTTTGTTTGTTTGTTCGTTTGTTTGAGATGGAGTCTTGCTCTTGTTGCCCAGGCTGGAGTGCAGTGGCACGATCTCGGCTCACTGCCACCTCTGCCTCAAGGGTTCAAGCGATTCTCTTGCCTCAGCCTCCTGAGTAGCTGGGAATACAAGTGTGTGCCACCACTCCTGGCCCGTGTTGTTTTGTTTGCCTGAGAGTGGTGTTCACAAAGGATGGGGATAAACACTCAGAACTCAAGATTTCTTCTGCATCTTTACAAAATAATAAAAGCCAAAACCAGGAGGCATAGGAGAAAAGACGGCAATAATTAGCCAGTGTGCCCTTGCAAATCATTAATTGACTAACCCAATTATAATATATAACAGAACACCATAATCCATTACATATCATGGAATCAAGGAATATTCAAATATATTCAAAGATTTGTGGAATGCTCCTAAAGCAATTTGAGTGACAAAGCAAGTCACAAAGCAGAATAGGAAGTGTGATTCCTAATTTTGCTTTTAAAACGTACGTACATATAAATACAATAAAGAAGTAAATACACTTACATTCCACAATAGTTGCCTCGAGATGACAGTTAGAGGTGATC